GTGCGGGCCCGGGCGCTGGCTGGGCCGGCTGCCGGCTGACAGGCCCCTGCAGATGTTCACGCCACTCACCCCCCTCAGGCAGTCCAGCTTTGTGCCGCCTTCCCTGGAGGTGGCCAGCAGGGGGCAGCCCAGCGGGGCCCGAGCCCCGGTGAGGGGCAGGCCAGGCCTGCGTGGGGGGTGAGAGGAGCAGGCTTGCTCCCACGCGAGGTTTCCCAGGAGCTGAGGCGTAAGGGGGTTTGCTCCCCTGCTGGGGGCTCGCCTGGCTCCGTCGTTCACCCCGGGCCTTCCCTCCCAGCTGCTGCCGACGGTTGAGCTGAGTAGCAGTCACCCGCCTCCCCCAGACTTTTCAACAGCCTGCCAGGAGAAACGGGGAGGAGAGAGCGAGCATTTCTGCAATGGAACCAGCGCCGCCACTCCCCCAGCTGTCCCTCGCAGAGCAGGAGGGGTGCCGGGCCGCTCCCTGGGCGGGACACCTGGGACAGGGCAACGGGGCTCCTGGCTCAGCCGTGGCAGCTGCTGTCCTGGCCGCCGGGGGCTGTTGTGGGGCGCGGGGTGCGGCTGCAGCTGGTGCTGTGGGCTGCCCGGCCGGCAGCGTGAACCTCTGCTCTCCTCTCCCCGTCAGACGCGGTGACTGACTTTGACTTCTCTCCGTTCGACGCGCTGCTGCTGGCGACGGGCTCCGCTGACCAGACCGTGAGTGTCGAGGAAACGGGGCTGGGGGTGTGTGTGTCAGCCCAGCCGGGCGAGGCAGCGCTGGGGTCACGTCCGGGCTGTCCCTTTCGGAGAGCTGGGCCCGGCCTGGCCCCTTTCTGGCTGAGCGAGGGGCCTGGGAACGTCGGACGGAGCTGCTCAGAGGGGGGCGCTCGGCCGTCAGGGCTACAAGAAGGACGAAGCCCGGCCTTCCGCGCCGTCCCTGGGCCAGCCGCACTTCTGAGGCAGCTGGGCCAGTCTCTGCTCTACACGTTCTGGGGCAGGAAGGGTGCGCTGAAGGGAAAGGGCTGGGATTGCACACGAGGCACCGGGCACCCCACTCTGGCCCTGCCTGGGGGGCCCAAGTCCAGGCGACTGGCTGAGCCCTTGCTGCCGGCGTCCTGTGGTAGGGGAACCCAGAGCCCGGCTTGGATTTCG